TTAGTTTTTTGTATTAATGATATTCTATGACATCTAGCAAATTCTTCATCTAAAAAACAAGCTGAGGCTCCTGAATCTATCAAGGCAGAGGCTTTGTAATTATTAGGTCCTAAACGCACATCTATTATAAAACAAGGAGATGGTTCTGAGGAGAGGATAGGACCTTCATTAGAAGTTGTACAAGATTCCAGCCGCACGGTCCCTATTGTAGCTGGACGTAGTCGTTTTCCGACATACTGTCTTCTTTGACAGCCGTACTCCTCATTTTGTAGTTACGTCGCTTCTTTGGACAATGTTGAGCAGTGTGCTTAGGTTCTCCACAATATAAGTACAATCCTTCTTGTCGACGACGAGACTTTTCTTGCTCAGTAAGAGGTTTGAAACGTACCGCATCAATTTGCATATCCTCTACTTCTGAAGGTATGTGTTGAGGAGACGTCGGTGTTGCCATTGAATTGTAGTAATGTTGAGGCCTACTTGTGCGACTCTCGGATCGAAATTCAAAAAATCAATTGTCGTAGTTCACAGCAAAGTCAATTGCTTGACTCAATGTTTGAGGATCAGGTAAATTAAGCATCAATTTCTTTACCTCATATTGTAACTGTAGAGAAATTGACTCACAAGTGCGGCATCATCCCACTTGATATCAGTTGCAAGTTGTCGAAATTGCGAAGCATATAATGTTACTGATCGATTGCCTTGTCGCAAAATACGGATCTTGTTGGTTGCAACACGAATTGCATCATGTTCTCCAAACATGGATCGAAACTCCGCCAAAAAAGCCTCTAGATTATCCAATATTGGATCTCGTCGTTCAAGAAAAGATGAAAACCATGACAATGCTGAACCTGAAAGAAGTGTACCAATGAATCTAACTTGTGACCCTGGAGTTGGATAGCTCTGGGGTTGAAGTTCAATCACTAGTTGGACCTGATTGATGAATCCTCGAAACTTGGATCTGGTACCATCAAACTTCTCGCGCAAGGCAACTCTCGGTTTTCTAACACTCGAAGGGTGTTCCATTCTGGGAGAAGGGACATGGTTTAGTGCAGATGTTGAAGCAGCCCCAATCATCTCTATATCTTCACTTCCTACCATTCTTGTTGCTCCTTGTGGTGGTAAATTGAGTTGATGCATCACAAGCATTAACTCCCTCAATTGTTCTTGCATCTGTGCCATAGCACTCTTCATTTCAACAAGCTCTGCCATAGTAGCACTTAGAAAAGAGAAGATGTCTAATAACGCTCAAAACAAATAGAAGAGAGGAATTGATAACAAAGAAAATACTAAGAACAATATCAGTTTAAAAGAGGGTAATCCGCAACTTCTAATGCGCTTATGTCTTATCAAGAAAAAGGGGTAATCCACTCTTAATCAAGAAAAGACAAAGCTCTGATATTGTAAGTGTACTCTTGTCAATCTGTCAAGGACAAGAACTCGATGAAAGCTAAAGAGTAAGTGAGACTTTTCTCAAAAAGAAATAGGACAAAATAGAAATATGTATATTAAGAAAGAAACTGGAATGGCTATTGCCAAAATACAAGAAAACTAGAGACCCTTGAAACTAGACTAGAAGCAAGAAAGGAGTTGACAAGAGTGAAGAGGGCTTCACTCTTGCCTCTATATATACTATCTAACTAGAAGCCACATGGCGATGTTCTATAAGACCTCCAATATATGTTGACTTTCTAGGCCACATGCCTTTGCTTACAAGGCAAGTTTTTCTATGGATGGACCACGTAGTTAGCTTGTTCTTTAAGCTTCCAACATGTGTGGCACATGGCTAACTTGTTGACCAAGTTTCTAGCCTAAAAGTCAACTATAGACTCCTATAAAGTCAAAACAGCGTCTAATGAAGCTTCTAAGAAGCTTCTCTAGAAGATATTACACAATTAACCTACTTTTATCTACTTTTACATACTTTTATCTATTCATATAGGTAATTATATGTATGTCCGTGACACCTATATGAAAAGAATGTAATTCGAATTTTAATTCAAAAGTGCTTAAAGCCATTACAAAGTGCTCAAAAATAATCTTCTTAATGACCTCAATTATGCATAAACTCTAATTATCTTATTACTTTTATAATTAGGTAATTTTGATTTCTCTTTGCAAGCCTTAATTCTAATTAGTGAGTTTGGCGAACTATAACTCCTAATTTGACCATCCACTTGGTGCAAAATTTTGCATATAAATGCCACTATAAGTCTTCTCTATACTTAAAAAATTCAGCCTAATCCAACTTACAAATTGTGAAAAAAAAACCCAAAAACCACACTAATATTACATGGCGACCAACTTGAAAGTTAATACAAATGTCCTAGTACTGATTTTTCTTTCTTTACACATTAACTTCAATTAAAAATTGGTGTGTAGCTTGATCTTGAAATCTTCTAATACCATGCCAAATTTCACTTTAATCCAATTATTACATCTCAAGATATTATAGAAATTCTACCCAACCTCAAACTACCAACTTCCAATATCTTCTTGTACCAAAACCCATATATCTCTCAATTGCACCATTAGATTAACACAAAATTTTACAAAAATTTAGCACATTCAATTAACTAAGCACTATTAAATTTTGAACTATAGATGTGACACCAATTGCACAAACTAGTTAAGAGTATTAGCTTTAATTATATTATGTAAATCCCAAGTTACTAATACAAATCCTAATTTTGAACAAGAATTGTAAAGTCATTCCAAATCCTATAAAAACATGGCTTATATTTCTAATATTAGGCTCACAAATCTCAATTATTAATCTTCAAATAATCTCCTATTTTACTCTAAGTAGCTATTTTAGTTGTTGGAGGTCTGATTTCAATCATGTTCCACAAATAGTCAACCCTTGAATATCAATCCAATCTATCCTAGGATTTTTTTAGCCTAATCCTACCTTCAACTTGAGCCTAGTGTCAACCATATTAATTATTTATATCTTCTATCCTATTTTTACTAATTTATGGTCTTTTTAAGGTAGTAAAAGAAATTCTATAATCTAGAAGATAAAATTATCAAACAACCTTTAATCTACTTACTATTAAGACAAGAAAATAAACTAAGAAGCTTTTATAAAAACCATGTTAAAATGTCTTGAATTACTATTGAATCAAGATGATTAAATATTAATTAGAGATTTATTTTTAATTATATTTTCATCGTATAGTTGTGTTACAACACAACAACATCCACAACTTCAATACAAAGTCATCTGGAAAGATTGTTCTATCCACAATACAATGTGGGAACCTACACAAAAGCTCACCTATTGTCAAGAAACAATTTGGAGATACCATTGAGAGCAAAATGATGATGTTTTCTATAAGTGGAAGTAGATTAATTATAACAGGATATAGATAAGATATTTGTAACATATAATATTAATCTACAACATCCATTAAATGATATTAGTGTGTAATCTCAAGTGAATGATATTGGTGTACAAATTCCAACTTTAAAATATGATAATACTGTATAGAATCTAATAGATGATATTAAAATAGAAAATCTATTAGATAATATTAGTATCCAAATTTTAACATTAGTAGATGTTACTAGCAATGATAATTAAGAGTGAGAGCAATATAAGTAAGAGTAATAGATTTAGTAGGTGAAAATTATATTTGATAAGAAAATAAATAATTTTAGTATTTTTGTATAGAAGAGATATCAATATTAGTAAGTAATGTCCAATTAACATGTGGGTGATATCCCTCTATAATGTCCCTTAAAATATTATTGTTATATTATTATGTTTATTATTTCTAATTATTTAAAGATAAAATTTAATATTAATGTCTATAAAGAATTTGTAAATTGATGCATATATTTTAATTACTTCATTGAAAATTAAAGTCCTTAGAATCTTATAAAAAAATTTATAGAATTTTTTTTAAAATTAATTCTTTTTACTAATCTTATAAGTTTTTAATTTTTTCAATCTAATTTAATAATTCATTTATAATTAAATTATTATAAAAATCTTATAGTATTTCTAATTCAGAATATTTCTTTTTTACAATTTGATTTTACTTCTAAAATAAAATACAATATTATTTTCTAAAGTCTGAATACATAGTGAATTTTTTCTAATATATGCTTATAGAGTTATTATTTTACTCTAAATAAAGTAAAAAATCATGTTAAATGCGTAACAATTACAAATAATTTGTGAATCTAGATTTACACTGTCATTTCAAAGTCATCAACAATTAAAATCTACTGTTGTTTCATGATTCTCAGTGCTGTTTACACACAAACACACACATAAAATCACACAGATAAATATAAGAGGAAAATACATTTCATAACCGAAATTTATTGGTCAAACACACGATGTGCTAATATCTTAGTTTTAAAAATTTTAAAACAGAAAAAGAGGAGGAGGATGTATTCGAGGTTGGAAGTGAACTCGGAATGAACAGTCCGTGTTGGGCTACCGCCAGATGGCACCCCCCACCGGTGCGAAGGAAACTATCATCCATCTACCCATCCAGCGACCAAAATACATTCATCTATCAATTCATCCACCCTAACATCCATCCAAACATAGATTCCGAAGGAGGCACATAGGCCATCTCCAGATGGGACGGGGACGGGGGGGGGCACTCTAGGAACCCCCACCACGCAATGGGAATCAGGGCTGGGGGGGGGGGGGGGGGGGG